TTTATAACCTGAAAATGAAATAATACTTTTATTAAAAAAAAGTAAACAAAACAGCAATTTATATTAACAAATTGGCCCACAAAAACGCCTGATAATTATGCACCAAACCAATAAGATAATTATAGTTAAACTTAATGAAAAAAATGGGTTAAAAATCATGTTACGCATTTCGTCATTAGAAAGGCGTCTTCACACTAAAGGTGGTTTTGACAACGGAAGCTTATATATGTAGGTGGAGAAGGTCGAAATACAACGAACATTCGTTCCAATTCTACATCAAGAAACGTTGAAAATCTAAGGACGCTTAGATTTAAATTTAAGTAATATTAAGTTATTTTTTTTCATTTTTTAATTCAGTGGATTGATTGATTTTTTTACGGCTTATTAATCTTTTGAAAATTATTTAAAGTCATAGAAAATATTTTTAGATCGTATGATTTTTTTTTTTTTTTTTTTGAGATAACAATGCTTTACTGACACAATTCTTACTAATTAACCCATAGATGGGGAAAAGAAGAGGTGGATTCATACCTTTTCCAAAGGGTATATGCACGTAAGTGAATATAACAAACCTGACTGGAATTGGAACTCGGCTCTCCGATTACCAATCGAAGCGTAGTGTCTGTTCTTATCAGCTTAATCTGATTATCTCTACCCCCCCCCATTTCTATCTTCCTTTCTTTCTTTTATTTTTTTTCACTGAAAGCAAGTAATGTCTTTTAGCCTCTTACCACGTGATCAAAACGTGGAATAGTCCATTATTTACGACAGTGTTTTAACCTAAGGAAGGTTACTGAATTGAATAATCACACGAAGGTTGGTAATGAACGATAATATTTAAGGAAACGAACAACATATAAGATTCGCCAGCGGCGCGTAAAAGTAGTCAACTGCTAGAAGTGAGTCAAGTGAATTCCACAATGAATCTCCGACTGCGGGGTATCAAACGCCAAACGTGGCCAGATATGGCACAAGGCCGAATTTAATGTGGGGTATCCGATCCCGTAGGCTCGGCCAAAACATTCCCCGTAGACCCCGTATAAAGCGGGGTCGGGTAGCTGTTTCCCGAGACGAGACTCTGCCCGTCGACATAACCTCGTCTGAGGAACCTCTCTGCCCGGAGGCAGACAGTTTGACCAGCACAGCTGGAGACGAATCTCCAACTGCAGACCAACATACAGTATTTAGTACTGTAATTATGTGAATGGGGATATACCAATTATCGTCCGTAGGTATGCTACAACAGGCAGGAAGTAATGGTCGTGCTAACTAACGAAGATAGGAACAAGCAGAATTATAATAGGATAATGTTGAGTGTCATCAGATCTTTTGCGGAAGTGTATTTTCGCAGAAAATAAGCTTATAATTTCAAATCTGCGTAGAAAAAGCATAGATAAAGATTTAGTAAAAACCGTTTTTAACAGTTTAAAAATGAGAAAAAGTACAGGTGTATTGACTTAATTTAACGTGTCGCTTCAGTTGTCTTTTGATCTCGAGCCGCTCTTTGGAAAAAAGGAGTCGCTTGGCGTAAATTTGTATTGACAAGTTGGCAATTTTTTTTAGTCGACTGACCACGACCTAGTGCAAAGTCTTGACATTCAAGTGATACAACTCATTTTCCTTAACTAACAGCGCATAGATTCAAAAGGCGCAGCGGAATAGCCAATCATGCCTTCCAGAAGCTTTTTTCTTTTACGCGTCATGTTCCTTTAACAGAGACGGTGCGTACTACCCACGAACTGCTCGACTAGGAATCATCGTGATTGGAGGCCCCGGACAGAACTTTGTGAGCCTCGATATCTTATCAACATTTCTTTTGTTTTTGTTTTTCCCACACGCATTTATACGTTACAAATTAAATTAAGCACAGCTGATTATTAAAGGAGAAAAAGTTTTCGCGGATTCTGACGTCATTCTGGAGTCTCTTTTTCGTCCAAATTCGTAAATTTGTTTTGCTCACACTAAGTATCGAAAAAAAAACACCTTACAAAATTCACTATTTTTTATTCATTATGTGTTAAAATTATTCAACTTTTTGACAAGAAAAATCTCAATTTGATGTTAAAAAATTGCCGCAAACGTCTTTGATTTATTTAAGATGGGATTTTTTATTATGACATGTCTTTAATTTGTATTTAGATACATTGTATTTATTTCAAATTTTTTCAGTTGAATTGTTCACCTATATTGCTTATGATCCATTATTGTACATAATTAGGCCACAATTTTATATATATATATATATATATATATATATATATATATATATATATATATAATTAAATAAGCTACTAACGTTATGTTCGCTTATTTTGATCCTGATCCTTTCATATTCACAAATATTTTTCTGTATATTACAATTAAATGAGGCAAGAAATGCACTGTAACAGCGAGAATCACTTTTATTACCCAAGTACTTTCCATCTCTTTCTAAGATCATCATCAGGGGTGCAAATGATAAGGCAAAAACTGTGTGTAGCTAGTCATGACTGAATTTTTC